TTTTGAATTACCTAATGATCTTTCATGGAGAGAAGTCTATTCTGGTGAATAGAGGGCCCCTTGTTATAGCTTTGTCCTGATGAGATAGATAGTTGTTGGGTTAGACAGCACTAGAAACTCCAGATTTGCTTGGATGTGTCCAGTAGATGGCTCATCTGGTGATCTTCATTGAAATGACTTCTCAGTTGAGCTTATGGTAGGGTGCTTGGTGATTCTGTTCCAAGAATGCATCTCTCTAGTTGACTGGCAACAATCTGCCTTTCCACTTCCAATTCTCTGGAGAGTGGTTGAAACTAAAACTTTTTCTTCTTTTCCTTCAAGCAAGGTGAAATAGTGATGGCTGTAGTGTTTGGTTCTATACCTCTGCCATTCGAAGTAGCTTCTTGGCAGATCTGTGGTTGCACCTCCTCCACAAATGAGGCCTGCTGGGGGGCTATTTCTCTTTCCAGGTCAAACAGCAGGGATTAGGGATTAGGAACTATCTTGCTTCAAGGTCATTGCTGCAGCATCCATTTTTTTTTAAGTGCCACATGCTGCCTAATGGCTGCCACTCTGGCCTCCCATACTGTACCCCACTCCCTTCCCAGAGGCTCTCCCACCATCTGCGCTGGCAGTGGTAGACAACTCAACCCTCTCCCAGATGCTCAAGGTGCTTCTTCCATGGCCAGCAAAGATGTAGATGCAGCCCCAGAGCTCCCCTCTGCTGCCCATAAGCTGCAGCTGCTGCCTGCCCAGCCCACCTCTTTTTTTGTGCCTTACACATACATTAGAGTTAGTAGTCCCAGGGGCATGCTCTCTGTGGTCACCAGTTCTTGCTCAAAGCCTATCTGCTGGCACTTTCTCCATCTGAATTCTGGGGTGAACAAGACTATTCTGCAGACCTGTGTGCTTGGGCGGTTTCTCACACATTAGGCAGGTCTCCACTTCCTGCCAGGAACACAGACTGCAGTCCTCAGCACATCATCATGTAGGATAGAGGGTCCTTCACCCTATTCCTGGTATTTCCAGGACAAAGAGAGAAGTCCCATGATATTGTTTGTTTTAATCAGAGGGTTTTTGTTTGTTTGTTTGGTTGGTTGGTTGGTTGGTTTTTGCTGTTTTTATTGTTGTGTGTTTTTTTTTAGAGGAAACTGGCAGCTGTTTAGTTAATTGCATTAAATGGGATTCAAGCCAAGGCCACAACTAACCCATTCGTGACACCTGTATGTAGTCGTCAACCTGCTGTGCTCTACACTGGCAACTTAAGAGAATCTACCCTTCCCAGCTCAGGGAGACTGGTGAAGGCACTGTCCTGGACACCAGGCTGAGGTGCTTTGTTAGGGCAGTTCTGGTGAGAAAAGAAGGGAAGGAGCCTTTTCTCTCAGAGGCCAAGCAAAGTTCTGGACTTCCAGAGTTCTGGGAAGGGAGTGACC